CCGCGGCTCCCCATGATGACGGCGCTGAGGCCGAGGCGCTCGACCTCGAGGCAGAGCCTCTCCTTCATGTCGTGGTCCTTCACGATGTGGATCTTGAACGGAATCTGCGCCTCGCGGAGGGGCCTGGCGAGATCCGCGGCCTTGGACGCCGTGAAGGCGTCGAAGTCGTCCTCGAGCTTGCGCTTGGAGCTGTGGTCGTTGCTGTTGACGGCGCTGACGGCCTCCTCGTCGGAGTTGGGGTCGGTGTTGATGGAGAGGTCGATGGAGCCCCAGTCCGCGCCGAACAGCACGTTCGTCGGGCTCACGTGCAGCAGGATCACGGCGTCCCCGGGCCGGATGTAGTGCTGCACGGCCCAGCGCACCGCGTATGCGCTCTCGTCGGAGAGGTCCACGGCCACGCCGATTTTGCGGCGCGCCCCGGCGGTGGGAGTCGGGGTGGCGGCCGAGGCGGGGTGGCGCGGGGAGGACGGGTGGTGGATTTTGATCTGCGGGAGTTGCGGGTCGGAATCCAGTGCGGAGGGGTTCTGGTGGGGTTGCATTTTTTTTTCTTTGCGGAGGGTTCTAGAGTAGTTGTTTGTTGTGCTCTTTTTTTATTTTTTGTTTCTTAGTTAGTGTGAGAGTGAGTGAGTGAGTGAAAGTGAGTGAGTGGGATTGAAGAGATTGTGTGTGGAAATAAATAGAGGTGGTGGAATGAATTGGGAGGTGGACTTGGGCTGTGGGTTTTTATGTTGGGCCTACCAAATGGCCCACTGTACGGTTCTTAGTGGCCCAAGAGAGAACGGAGGTGTTAAATTAAATGCATATTTCAAGATTATCTTATACTAGTGCGCACGAATTTGATTATTGCCCTTGTTCATAGTATTCATTGTTCGGAGAAGAGAAAACTCTTGCCAAATTTTGGCACATGAAAAGGACAATCAAAAGCATGATGTCTATTATTCGCATGCACCAACATTCTGCTTTATCCCATCTCACCTAATTTTCATTTTCGTTGATGTTATTAAATAATGCAAGAAAGATGGTATTTTCTTTTTGTTCAAATATTTTTTTCTTATAATTTTAATTACTTTATACCTTTTAGTTTCTATAATTTTAAATAGACATTTTTTATTTTTATACTTATTTTTTTTTTCTCTTTTAGTTCATATAATTTGACATAAATCTTTTTAGTCTTTATACTTGTAGTAGTTTTAATTTTTTAGTCCATATCTGTTAAATTTTTTTTGTAACACTATTTATTTTGTATTGATGTGGTAGATATTTCAATTTTGTGAGAGTAAAAAAAAAATATTTCATCAATGAGCATCATAGATAAAAACACAAAACAGACATAAAATTTAAAAAATCTAATTTAGAGTAATTTCAATAAAATAAATTTGACATCAAACAAGTTGAATTAATTGTCAATACAAAAAAGATAATGTTATAAAAAAAATTTACAAGGTCTAAAGAATTTAAAAAATAAAGTAAGTATAAAACTAAAAAATCCTATAACAACTAAAAAAACTAAATAAGATAAGTATAGTGATTATAAAATAAAATATGAAGACTAAAAAATAAAATTAATAAAATTATAGAGAAAAAAACTTTAATCTCTATCTTTTTTATGATGAGTATAATAAAGTTTGAACTAATCATATTTATATATACTTTTTTTTTACCTTTTCTCCCATTTTGTTTTTTTTATTATTTCACTTCTTATTATATGACATATAGGATGCACATTCATAATAAATTATAAATTATTAAAAAACTATTTACTTTATCTTTACTCATCTTAAAAGAAATCAATTTTTTTTTCTTCTTTCTCTGTTTATACCTAATTAATATATGGATATGATTTTTCTACGATCTAAAAACATGTTGGAAGCCAAAAGAATTCAATGTATCTAACCAAATAATCGTCATTCAGTTATAGAATTGACGTTGAATTAGGCAAGTTGAGGATTCTTGAATGTGTGGTTTTGTCTTTTTATTTGACGGAATAAAGCCCTCAGATTCTTAACATTGTCCCTATTAAGTATTAACCCGAGTAAGCGATAATGGCGGGGCGGTGTTAACTGAAAATAGAACTTGCTTTTTGATTCTAAATCTATAGTTTTGAAACGACTTAAAACTCAAGTAGTGGACGTGCCGGAGTGGTTATCGGGCATGACTAGAAATCATGTGGGCTCTGCCCGCGCAGGTTCGAATCCTGCCGTTCACGCTTTCTTATTTTATAATGATATCATTTATTTTTATTTTGTGTCTTTTTTTTATCATCTCTTATTTGTAAAGAAAAAAGTTATATTATCTTTATTATAAATAAAATTCTTAATATGTTAAATACTTTTTTTATATAATCATATTATTAGTACAAAATGGAGAGGATATATGTCACAATTTTTAAAGTATGTATCAATCTCATTGATTTTATTTTGTTGATTTTTTTCAAAAAGTTTTTTAAAAAATGAAGAGAAAAAAAATAGAGAAGATTCATTTTCGATTCGAACTATTACTAAAAAGATAATATACATATCTTATATCTATATACCGATAAAGAAGCTTTCTCAATTCCTATTGTGCTTTTAGTTTGTTTGACAATCAAAGAAATAGATTTCTGTTCCCTTTTCTACTTTGTTTGCATCAGTAATGGTGAAGGAGAGAATATATTTTAGAGCATAATATATATATGGGTATAAATATTTTTAATATAATGAAATTTATATAGTCAACAAACTAGAAATCATATTTATATAATATTTTAAGATGATTATTATTAAAATCAACAAACTTATTACTTATATGATTGAATAATAGTGTAAAAATTAGATATCTTACTTCTCTATACTTTGCTAGGAACAAGACATCCCTTAAAACTTGGTGTAAAAATTTACTACTCAAATGTTCTCCCTTTATCTAAAAGGAAATTAGTAATTAATTATACTTTAGTTTATTTATAACTCACGTATTTAACACACACAAACATATATATATATATATATATATGGTTACATTATATTTTTTCTTTTTTATTTTTTTTCATCACTCATCTTATATACCAGATACTTCCTTTCTTATATCCTCTTTTATTCATAAAGAAAAAGATATATAAATTTTTTTTATAAATAGAATTTCTTAACACGTCTGTGAACTATATTTGTCTATTTAAATTCAATTCTGAAAGAACACATATAATACATTATTTAAAAATGCTAGGAATGTTTTCCCAACACTATTAAATAAAATTGATTGTTCAAACAAGAAATTTATGTTACTTTTATTTATTATTTAACCAATTTCACATGATTATGTGAATTTATAATTAGTAATGTTTAATTTTTAATTAAAATAATTATTATAAATTCAAAATTTCTAACATACAAGACAATCAATTATTCACTGAAGGTGTAAAAAATAATCCATGAAAATATACTTACGAGAGAAAATCAGAAGAAAAATAAGATGAAATGAGAAGAAAAAGAAAGAAGTGAATATATATGTTAAGTATTTACAATAACTCAAACTTCTAAGTTCTTCTTCAGAACATGGAAATTTATTAAATACACTGATGCAAAACATATAATATATCCATCAGTTCGAATTAAAGGCAAATTGAAGAAAAATGTACCCTTATCAAAAACTGGGTTTTTTGTTTTCCTACAACTTCGGCATAAAATTAATCTCTACGTATGTGGCTAAGGCTATGTCTAAGAATCCTATACATAAATAATCTATTTCTTATACCGAACCGAACTAAGCTCTTCTCCACTATTCCCCTCGTTGCAAGGCCTTTTTGTACGATTAGAAATCACAAAGAACCCAATTGTGGTGTAAGCTATAGCACAACACTTACCCAACAAGATCAAGACCATAAGACTAGTGATGAAAAGCAAGGTTTCAGGCATGTTGGAACCAAGATACCCTTTTCTACTATCTCCAATATTTAGCTTCTGTTTCCCCAACCCACTTCCATTTAATGATCTGGATAGGTAGGATTCAGAGGATGATCCTGAAGCCTGAGTACTCGTTGAAGTAGTGCTTGATTTGGTTGAAGCTGATAATGAAAATGGGGTGAATTGTGAACTTGGAGAAGTGGAAGTAGCAGTGTTTGATGATAACTTGCTTGCACTTTCGCTCGAGAAACCATCCTTTTTCGTTTTCCTCTTGTAATTCAGCTTCTTCGCCTGTAAGAAGATTATTTATCATAAAAGGAAAATAATTTTCATGCTTACATTTTGGAAAAATTATTAGATATAGTTCAAAATTATCAAATATTAACAATCTCAATGATTCTAAAAATGACACATTTTTATTATTTGATTACAATTAGAAATCATATAATCTCTCACTATATAATAATTTCTCCAAATAGAGAGAATTTGTCCTAAATAAGATGGATGAATTAATATCACTTCTATATCATAAATGACTTTATCCACAAACTGATTAGTATAGATTAGCATTATACACAATAATGGAAATGTTAACAAGATTTCTTAAAACATTGAATCTAATAACGGTTAACATATTCATGGTGAGGGCATGTGGTGCAAAAATTAAACAACTTATTTTCTAACCTACATAACACTAAAACCAGACCAAACACAAAACTTCTTTCAGAATTGAAACTGGAACAATAAATTACTAGATTACAAAGCAGGTTAATGTTCGTCGTGCACCCTCTTGTACCATATACATGCATATGTTTATACATGGGAATCAAGGTTTTAATTAAATCAGTTGCAGTTTTCGTTACGATCTTTTGTAGAAAATTAGAAACAAATGCGGTTATTAAAATCTTGACGAGGATTATCTATGAAGAACATGATAAATTAAAGAGATTGCTTACATAATAGGAAAAGACACAAACTAATTGTGCATGGAGTTGGTGCACTTTTGCAAAGTTAATAAATGGTGTCAAATATTCACGACAGAATTTTTCTATCAGGACAAAAAAATGTTTGAATCAAATTCTATAATCATCGTGATTCTGAAGGCCTCTCGATAATCGCATCGAAACATAACATAACCATATTTGCCATTTCAGAAACTAGAACGTAACCCTAACCCTAAACTATAACAAGACATTCAAAATTTCAGTTAACATTGATGCAAATGGAAGGAAGAAAAAGACAAAGACAAAATCTAACCAATGACGTGTGATTCAAAGCCGACACCAGAGCCTTGCGAATGGAATTACTATTCTCTTTGCCAACCTTTTTCCGGCCACTCATGCTATTGTCAGTTTTCACGGCGACGTTTTTTGTCGTCCTGAAAACTGACGAGAATGCGGCCGGAAGGTGGAAGCGGTAGTGATGCTTCTCCGGCACGGCAATGTAGGTGAAGATGGGGTCGACGCCCCTCGGCGAGGGGGCGACGTCGTCGGGTTTGAAGCACCGGAGCAAACGAAACCTCTTAGGCTTCTTCTTGGGGGTCTCCATGTCGGGAAGACAAGGCCTCGAGTTGGACTATGAAACGGTGTCGGCGGTTACCGAAACGGTGTCGTGTTGGCGGTTAGGATTTGGCGGTTGGAGGAGAAAAGAGAGAGGGTTTGGGAGGCCATGGGAAACGGGAATGTGAAGAATGAGGCGTGGGAAAATTGATGAAGAATGTGGTTTCTGATATTAATACGAAGAATGTGTGGGGTTGTGGCGTTTGAGAATTGATGAGACCCTTTGGGTGAAAGGGTCTTATGAGAAAATCAAAATGAGGGTGAAATGCTTGGAGAATTGAATGATCAAATAAGATTTGCATTTTAGAATCATGGCTTTTGTCTTGGTGATTGTTTCCCGAAATAATTCGCACTAAAATAGTAATAAAAGAATCTGAAAAGGCCCTTAAAAGTGGGATTTCGTTTAGTCATTTACTTTGTTTAGGTTAGATGGTAGTATATCAAGTATATAATTTTTGTGATGCAAAGTGTTAAATGAATTGTAGTTTTAGCTTTTGAAATTTTTATTTTTTTAAAATTATACATATAATTCTCTCTAATTTCGATTTATTTGGGGGATAATTTACTTTGACTATTATTATTATTATTATTATTATTATTATTATTATTATTATTATTATTATTATTATTATTATTATTATTTTTTTGGTGCTTGTGAAAAGGTCTTATCTATATTTATAGTTAGCTATATCCTATATGTAAAGACTAATTCTTTGCCTTTTGTTTTTGTGCACACGTTATTCTTTATAATTTTAATCCTTTGAATGAAAATAAAAGTTTTTTGGGTGGTGTATGTTTTTTGTTGAAACATGTTATTAAATTACAATAACCGTTTACAACTTCCACTGTGTATTTTTAAAGAATGCAGAAATTTTTATTTCGTTTTGTCTTAATTATAACATTCAAAACACTCTTAATCTCTCATTTTTTTTGTACAAACTCTTAACCTCGCATACTTTTATTTTATGAGTTAATCACTTATATACTGTCAGTGTAAATTTTTTTTTTACATTAGCAATCAATTATATCTTTTAATTGTGTCATGTCACTGTTAAAAGTAAATATGTTTATAGTGACATGACATAATTAAAAGATATAATTGGTTGTCAATGTAAAAAAGTTTCACATTGAAAGTATATAAGTGATTAACTCTTATTTTATTTAATTATTATTATTTTTCTTCAGTCCTTCGTAAATTTATTTTTAAAACATCTCACTCTCTCTGACCAATTATTCAAAATCTTTCGCATACTTTAATTATCGACTATTCACATATATTTAACTTCAATTATCAATTCATTTGTTTTATTTTATTTTTTAACAAAATACATAAAGACACAACGTGTCTTTTTTACCTTTATTTTAAATAAAAGTTTAAACTTTTATGTAAATTAATTAACTTTTTTACATAAAATCTAAGATAATTATTGTAAAAGAACCCTTTTTACATCGAATCCAAAAATAATTATTTAAAAAAAAAAAAGCTCTTCCTAGATGAATCATATTATAATTGATGAAATATGACTTTTAAAAATTTAATTGTATTTTTTTTTCATTTGTGTTCTTGAAACTTTCATCTTACCTTCCTCACGCATGAAAGCACTCCTGCCATTATTGTTGTTATGATTTTGACATTGATGACGCTTTACTAACAACGAGGTTAAATTGTCCCATGAGGACTTATGTCATGGTGAGAGAGTGTTGCACACAATGAGAGAGTTGAAGTCTAAGAAGATGTTGGAGTTGAGGGAGAAAATGTCACTTTTGATATAATTTGTAGGTTTTGATGTGGCAATTGTAGAGTGTGGGTTTGCCTTAGGAGATGTGGAGGGCATGGAGCATGTTATCACCATTGAAGAGGTGGGCTAGGGTCCTTATTGCACGAGGAATTGTGGGTTAGGGCCTTTTTTCATATATGCATTGTTGAGGTAGGATGGTGGAGATTCTTTCACCACTTCAAACTTCGTCTAAGGATTTAGAATTTAAGATTTAAGTTGCAGGATTTACTTTAGGAGATGTGGAGAGCATGGAGCATGTTGTCGCCATCAACGAGGTGGTGGGATCCTTAATAGGAATTGCGGGTTGGAGCCATTTTTCATGTATGCATCATTGAGGCATGATGAGAGGGATCCTTCATGACCACTTCACACTTTGTTGGAGGGATGTGTCCATGGGGGTGAAGTTTGTGACAACATACATCTTGGGACTATTAAAGGTTTGAGCAAAGGGTCTATAAAATTGTTGATGTTTTGATGGGTGAGTCTAGTTTGGTGGAGGAAGCAATGGTGGTAATTCTTTCTACATTGTCCATAATATAACTAATGTAGAAAGTGTTCTCATTTTACATCAATGGGTCAACATCAATCCTATAACTAATATAAAAAAAAACTCACTTTAATGAAATATTAAATGTTTCCCTTGCATTAGTGATTATAGCATAAACATTCTTTTGTACTAAATTTAATCTAATTATAACAATTTTTAATGTAAGGAATAATTTTATTCAATTCAATATAATAACGAAAAGGTATATAACAATGTTTTGCATTATTGGATAAATATACTAGTGAATTCACCTATGTGGTTATTGGGAACAATATATCTTAACAACAAAAATTCATAGAAATAACACTAACAACGAAACAAGCATTACTTCACATAAGAGTTGAGAACAATATCATGGCATTAAGGAAGGTTGGATACGATACACATTTTTGTGTTTTAATTATTAGTTATCTTTATATTGATATGAATATGTGTATCAAAAATATGAATGTTGGATTAATTTGCCATAATTATATATGTTTTCATTAATGGTTAAAACAGAAAGAAAAAAATATGGATGTGTGGATCAATCTGCTTGGAAATTATACATGTGTTCATTATAGGTTAAAATATAAAAAACCTAAAAACAAACAAAATCTTTCAAAAAATTACACATGTACATCAATTCAACTACAAACAAATGTAGATGAGGACATAATTCTACATCAGTTCACCCAAAAATCAAGGTACATTAGGATATAATTCTACATCAATTCACCCAAAAATCAATGTAGATTACGACATAATTCTAAATCGAGTTATAAAAAAATGATGTAGATTTATGTATAAATTTATACCGATTTTTAAAATAGAAATGATGTAAATGTGTATAATGCACTACATAAAACTGCAATCCCTAAGGGTATCTACCTATTTATATATGATGGGATCCTATCTTTGATCTTAGCAAGTATGCTATGAGATATAATAATGAGGAATGCACCTTCCCATTCGAAGGTAGGGTTAGTCATTCTCCTTTGGTTCTACTGTTAACCCACAACTAACATGACTTAACCAAGTCAGATGGCCTCAGATATGATGATAGGTACGGTACGATGTATTCTGCTAAGATAAAATATAAAATACTCAAGCGGGATCAATCGTGAAGAGGGAAACTTATCATTATACGAATCTCATTGATTTAAAAATCCATGTAGAAGTCTATACATTTTCGAAGTTACTCTATTCTACATCAATTTTAAAACTGATACAGATGGTTTCAAATAACTAGTGTAGACAATGTGTCATGTGGTAGTGTTTGCCCATTTTTAATTAAAAATATTAGGTACTATTGTTGAAAATTAAGGATTCATATTCAATTATGTGTTTCCTAGGTTTAGACTAATTTACTAATTTATGTGTTGTTTATTTAATTTACTTGCATTTTGTGTGCAAGATTTTGATTTTATTTATGAATTGGGTGTTTTAGGGATTGATTTACATATGTTCAATGATCATGATTAGAAAGATGCAATTTGATTTATCTGATAGTGTAACTTCGTACTAGCCATTGAAGTGATCGGTAATCTTATTTAGATTTTGTTATTATTTTACTTAATGTTCAACATATGATTTGTCCAATTCTAATTCCTTTATATGTTCTCAATTTGTAAGTAATAACTGATAGGTATTGCAAGATGAACATTCATTATACAGTGCCTTGCACACTTGAAATGTTATGTAAACTGTTACTTGTAACTAAAAGATACCAAACTTAAAATTAGATTTCTATGGATTTCCTCAAGTGGTGAATAAGAGCCTATTAACCCTGGTTTGGATGAGAAAATTAGGTTTAAGTGTTGGTTTGATGTAGTTGGTGGTATGACGACCAATGGACAATTCTATAGAGTTGAAGACCTTGCTCGTGATTTTAAAGATGGATAGAGCAGTCACCTCACACATAAAAAGAAAGTATCTTGTAACAACTAGCATGACAAAGTAGAAGACATTACCCATTTGAAACAACAACTAGTAGAAAATGAAGTGGTAATTTGTCAGCTGCAGTAGTTTCAATTAATTGACATATAGTTCTTATATCCTTTGAACAAATTAGCCAATAGCAAAATGCCAACAAAGATCAACAAAACGAGTAACAGTAGCAACACCAAAATGATCAAGAGAAAAACCAACAACAAAACTCTCTCCATAATGGTAATTATTAGATTGTATTAAAAAAATTATGAATGTGTTTTGAATTTATTATTATGATGTATTTTGAATTATGAATTTTTTTTACATACATTTATGTTGAATTCTAAAATTTATGTTGGATTATGATTATTATAATAAATCTTAGTATGTCCTTTTAAATTTATTTTGAGAAAGTTTCTTTTATAAAAATTAAAAATAAAACAAAAAAAATTTATCCATCGATAATTTCATTAATATTTACCGACAAATTTATCTGTTAGTAATTTACTTTATATTTATTGGAAACATATCGATGAAATATTCATCAATAATAAATAGTCATTATATTTCGATAGCAACGGTAATTTTCAAATGATATTGGAAATTACTAATGGTTGTTTTCCACAAAAATAGTCATCAAAAATTTCCAACGAATAAAATAAATTTGGCAAATTTTTTTTTGACACCTATATATGTGATGATATTGTGTTCGTCAAAAATCCTAGATTTTTTTTTGTTTATGGATATTCACTATTATCGATGGAATATGACCGTTAAATAATTAGCATTTTTTTTTCTAGTAATGAGTTGCTGTGGAACAAGTCGTTGTGAAATTCATCATTGTGAAACTAGTTGTTGTGCACCATACTATATAATTGTGCAATCTTACTGCATGACATGTGATTTATTTATTTTTATTTTTAAATCCTTCAAGTTCTTCTCTCATTCTCTCACACTTGAGACTTCACATAATGGATCCACATGTAGATTTTCAACATTTGCTAGATGTGGATGAACGTCATGCTCAACG